GAGAGAGAGAGAGAGAGAGAGAGAGAGAGAGAGAGAGAGAGAGAGAGAGAGAGAGAGAGAGAGAGAGAGACGGTGTGCCATCTTCCCGATTGTACTAGACTGATTCATCTGGTATGTGTGTTGTCATATTCGTTATACACTAAAAGAAGCATGACTGTGGCAGACTGTTTGTGTGTGTGTGTGTGTGTGTGTGTGTGTGTGTGTGTGTGTGTGTGTGTGTGTTGTCATATTCGCTACACACTCAAAAAAGCATGACTGTGCCAGACTGTTCGTCGGATTTTCACCGACCCATCAGGAGGTGTGTGTGTGTGTATGCGCTGCACACGTGCACAAACCCATAAATGGATAGAGTGCTGGTGTGTGTGTATGCGCTGCACAGATGCACAAACACATAACACACGAGAGAGAGAGAGAGAGAGAGAGAGAGAGAGAGAGAGAGAGAGAGAGAGAGAGAGAGAGAGAGACAGCTACGGCCCGAGCATGAAAGGGCCAAAGTTTGTGGCTGCTGCGGCGGAGTGGAAGGCAGAGTGTAAAAGGGTGCCGACGACGAAGAGCGAGAGCGGCGGCATAGAATACGAAAGCGCAACGGAGCCACCAACCCCTGCACAACCGAATGCCAACCCCATCCGCAATGTCAACCTCACCCCCGCCCAGCGATGTCCATCCAACCCATCCGCCTGTCACGACCAACGGGCTCGCCCGTCACGACTTGGTGCACCCTTCCTCTTTCTCTCATGTGTGCGCAATCGACGTCGACGGCGGCGCGACGTCGACTCGCTCAGGAGGCGCTGCAAAAAAGAGAAAAAAAAGAAAAAGAAAAACGGCCAACCCTGTGCCCCTCCCAGAACCCCATTTTTTCTTTTCTTCTTCAATCGGATTTCCAGCCCCCTCTACGCCGCTCTAGACCCCTAAACAGGTCGTCGACATTTCCCGATCGGGAAATCCGCTGCACGCCAAAAACGCAGCCGGGTATAGCGCAGCCTCCTGGCTGCGAACTGCTTTGTGGAATGCCAACACTGGGACTTTTTTTTTTTTTTTGAGACAACTGCGCCTGTGAGGCTGTGACCGCTGCACAGTTCAGAATTCACAGAAATAACAGTCCACTGCAAGCTTGGGCGAGGACCGGTTAGAAACTGCAAGAAAAACAGTAAATCATGCGTTCAACGGCCTACCGGTTCAATAATTGGCAAAAAAGGGAGGTGGCGGTAGTCGTACCGCTCTTCTTCCCGTGGCCTGGCCTGGGAGCAGTTACCGGTAGCAGACCCTCCCGTTTTTGGCTGATTTCCCCAGGGGTGTGGCCTAGGCATCTCGGCCGTGGCCCAGCCACGGTCGTGGTGTAGACATCTCGGCCGTGGCCCAGCCATGGGCGTGGCCAAGAGATCTCGGCCATGGTCCAGCCACGGGTGTGGCCTAGACAGCTCGGCCATGGCATAAGCAGGCGTGATAAAAAAAAAGAAAAAGCAAAAGACGTTGCAGACGCAGGGGAAAAAAAAAAAAGTCGCGGGCGCGGAAAAACAACAACAAAAAAAAAAAAAAAAAAGTTGCAGGTGCTAGGAAAAAAAAAAAAACAAAAAAAAAAACGAGTGGCCGCCTGATTTTGCCACTTCCGAACTTCCAACGGCTAGAAGTGCACAAAGCTGTAACAGTTCTGTTCTTGCAGTTTCTAACTGCTCTCTCTCAGCCCAGAACCGCAGTGCCCTGTTGTTATTCCTTCCTGCGAATTCGGAACTGTGCAGTGGTCACCCGGCCCGCAGTTATTTCAAAAAGAAAATAGCAGAAACATCCTTGAAGTTCTCTTTCTTAACTGGAGCGGACAGATCTCTGGAACAGTTTTGAAAGATCAGGAAGAAGAGCGGAACATCTCTATGGGGAAGCTAATTCAGAGGTACTTCGATTATGCAGATAGTAAACTTTTGCTAAATACCAGAGAGTGGACATAGTCTTGATTAGCCTATTTCTATTTGTTATTTGTGGCAGTTCGGTACAGCGAACTGAGAGGGTACACCTAGACAAATAGTCAGAAGAAAAGTGGTTTTTACCCACACTATTGACACAAAGCTTTGAAAAGGACACTCAGAGACAGGGGTGGGAACATGTGCTGAGGGGTGAAACATCCTTCTGTTACAGGAAGTAATCAATGCCGCTGTCTCGGGGACCCTTGGCCATTACGAAGGGAAATATATCATGCGTCAGTACTATTAGGGATCCAGTTTCGAGTTTTTTTAACGAAAAACTACCTTTGAAAGAGGAAAGAGTATGAATACAGTTTTGAGTAATGAGTCTAAGGACACACAGTAACTGTTGATATGTCTGAGGGTTGAGGACCTCGGCAATGCCAAGAAAAGGCCCAGCCCGCCCTAAGTGAAGGCAACCTGCAAAGATGAGCCCCAGCCTGAGTATAGCCCTATGTGAGCAGAACTGGGGGCCCCCAGGTGGTTGCGGCACGTGCAGCATCTCCAACTAACCAGTAGGCCCAACCTCCGGGTTAGTTGCAGATGCTGGGCCTTGTTCAGATTCTGGAAGTGCCCAGTGCAGTTTCTGGAAAGGGCCTGGGCGCAGGGTACTGGGACTGGGCTCGGCCAGACCAGAGGCCGCTCGGCCTCTCCAGCCAGCACAAAAGGCTGGAAGGTGCAGCCCCCAGGGACATTGGGGCCTTGTGCCAATGTGCCAGCGCTGCTGGAGCAGTAGCTGAGTGCTGTGCCCGAGGAGGAAGCTGCTGTGGTGGCAGCGAGGAAGAAGCGGGAGAGCACCAGCCATAGCCAGGATGAGCACGCCGGATGGTTGAAGTTGCAGAGGTCCTTGGTGGATGAAAGAGATGTGGAGAAGGAGAAGGAGATGAGGGCAGCGTGGCAAGGCGCGTACCTAGTGTTGTTGAAGGCAGGCTGTTCTATAAGAGTCTTCAAGCGGCATTGGGCTTCTACAGTGCGGGACCTGTTGTAACGTAGTAGACTAGGTTGATAGGAGCGTCTGTGAGTAGTCTGGGGACTCTGGGCGAATAGCTGCCAGTAGGGAGCTATATTGTCGTTTTGCATTGGTGATTGGACGCGCTGGGTGGGCTTTCATTATGGGACTTCAATGATTTGCTCGTTCCTATTTGGCGTTATCTTAATTTGCATTCTGCTTTCAGTTTCGTCTCAATGAGATCTGGTCTTTTGTGAGATGTTGCAATTTGGTTTATTGCTGTTCGCATTGCTCATTTCCTAGTACGTGGGAAGTTGATTAAATAATATCTTCTTTTTTTTGTTTGTTTTCTACCTTTTTTGTGAGAACAATGGGAAGATGGGCCTCACTCTACTACACTAGACTCTCGAAAATTTGAGAGATCTGCCTCGCTACACTTACACCTGACAAACCTCTCGAAAATGTGTTTCTAACGCTGTCAGAAAATGCTCCAGACCCGCACTCTCGACT